CATCAAATCCGAAGCTGCCGTGTATCCCAGGCCAGTGGAACAGGATCAGTCATCAGAAGTGCCTTAGGTGTAGCTCCCTGGGTCAGGGACTGACCCGCCTCTACCTTGTTTGGCTCATTCACTGTGGTTGGCAGGAACTTGGCAGCGGGTTGTGTTTCAGGTGCCAGCAGAGAGAACTCTCCCCAGATAAGTGCACTTTCCATAGTGAGAGTGTATCTTCTTCTGTATCCGCATGTCTGTATTTCCCCACCTTGCTAAGGACAATTTCTACTTTCTTAGACCAAATATATTAAACACTATGCCACCTGTTCCATGCATCTCTGTTTCCCTACAATCATGACACTATGATACATCAGTCCATGGGGATGGGTCAGTTCTGGCTCTGTGAGAGCCTTGCTGTGCCGTTTTCAGCAGTTCAGGCTGCTCACTTTTGTCTCCACCATCCTGTCCTCAGATTTGGGAAGTTTCAAGTAAGAAACAGCTGTGTCTCGGTCTCATTTTTCTCTTGCTCCAAGGGGCCATTGAATAGTAACCTGTATCTGAGAATTGCTTTAAGTTTAAAGTCTCAGAAAAATGTTCCTATTGGAACTTCCTAGCATATATCCTGGGGAGATTTATATAGCTGAGAGCTACAAAGCTAAGGAGAACATAATTCAGTTGTGGGAGTGACAGTGATACAATGGCTTCTGGCCTAGGAGTAGAGCAAGAACCTATTGCCATGGTACCTATTTCAAACCATACATAGTGGTCCTGGCCCAGAGTTTACAGCAGAGTGAAATCCCACCCAGAGGGAGACCATCAGGCAGAGCTGCATTTATGCAAGGTGCACAAGGCCACCCTGTTTTGATTGGTGGCATGGCTGGGCTTCACACTTAGGTGAGATGAGGGAATTCATTTAAACATGCACTGAGTACACACTCAGTGCCAGGCATTCAACTAGAAGAGAGAGAGAAATTAATACAGGCATTGCCTGCAAGACTGTTACAAAGCAGAAAAATGAGATGTATGTTCGATAGAAGATGAGTGAGATGGAAATATTAAGCCCAGTTTATCTCAGGAAGACATGGCATCTCAAGACACTGGGTTTGACTTAGCAATGTTTCTTCAGAATGCTAATGTCCATGAGAAATTACAGATGTTCTGTGAAATATGAGTTCTGTAGACAAACACATGTGAGAATTGCTACATATCCTATCCTCCACCCTCCTGTGGAGAGTTACAATGAGTAAGAATTCTGGAACTAAAAAGAATGATTAAAAAATTCTGTTTAACTTTGTCTCATAAGTACCTGAATATTGAAAAATCGTATTTTTCATGGAACACCAATTAACTTCTCCAAAAACATATTTCAGGAAACTTGCTAATGGCAATAGTATGGTACAGACATGGTCAGACATATGTCACAGAAAAATGAGTGTTGATTATGTCAGGAATAGATTACAAGAGGGAGGTAAAGGTTTGGTGATTTACTAAGGAAGAGATGATGTATCTTGGAGGAAATAAGGCAAAAATGGCCTGGGGAGAAGTTGTGAGCTCTTTAGAAAGGATATTTGTTAGAACTTAATGACCAACTGGAGAAGTGGGGCTAAAGAAGAAGGATAAGTCATTCCTATGAGTTTGGTTTGAATTTAAAAATATTTTGAATATGAAAACCCAAGATGATATGTGGGTTTTTCCATAAATACTCTCTGCCCATCTTATGTGATACTCAGAAGGCAGGACAAAGAAAAATGATTTTCTATCTACCTAGCAACTTTATTTTTAGAATTAATATATTATATTTGATAACCAAAGTTCTAGTGACAAAGTCGAACCAAATAATAGGATTTATAGATTACAGGATAAATGGCTGTGCACTCTAAGGGTAATGCTTCCAGATTGCTATCCAAGGTGCTGAATCTATTCGTCTAGTTACTGGAAACGGTTTCTGTTGACCCTCTGCTTCTGCCTGAAGATCAGCTCTCTGGAGAAGTAGCACCCTTGTCTTGGACCAAGCAAGATGTCATCTGATTGGCAATCCTTGCCAGTACTAGTTGACTCTGACTTTTGATCAAGACAACAGCCTGACTGCCTGATTTCTCAGCTGGACTCCTGGCCGATCAACAGCTAGCGTCAAGCTGTGTCCACAGAGGTTAAAAGGATCCTGACAGGTAGGTAAATATTTCCTCCAGGAACAAAATTAACCAGCCAAGGGAGCAGATAATTTGTTAGTGTGGAGGGTCATGAGCTGTGGAAATTAATTCTCAGGGCTTTATTTCAGTGCATTCAGGTTTCAGGACGCTGATGTTTCCTCTTTGCGAGCAGCTATCATTGGCCACCAGCCTATATGTTATGCTTGGCCCTCTAAAGGACACATTCTCTTCCCCCAGGAACTTAAAGCTTCATGGAAAAACAAGCACAGAATTTAAAGTACTGTGCAATGGCCTATATTTAGTATCAAATAAATTAAATACATTAGGGACCAAGAAGATAGAGGATTAGCATGGACTGGGAGAATTAAGGAAAGCTTCATGGAGGAGGTGGAGTAGAATCTGGGCCTTGATGCTAGTGAGGAACAGGGTATATATTGATGATAATATCATGGGAGTGGAAATGCCCAAGGCACATTTTGGAGGTAGTACATACTCACGTGTTTCAGCCTAGAGTTCCCTATCCTTGTATTCTCCCTACCTATGTTCATAAATAACACTACCACCTTTACACTTCTGCCCACAATGATTGCATCATTTCTGTCATACAGAAGGAAGAAAAATACTTTCAAATATATTTACATTTGGAAGAAAATAATGTCATAGCCTCATACTTTTGATATTTTCTAGTGACATGCTTCTTCAAGGTGTAAGGAAGCTTTTAAATTACTGGTCCTTAACTCACAACTTTGAAGACTTTAGCTCTTGGGGGGCAGAGAAATGACTAATGAAATATAGCTCCTAACTTGAATCAAAGCTTGTAGGAATGCAAACAAGGACAATTTCAAAATGAACAGTTAAGTGCAAGCAGAAAGAAGGAGTAATCTAGAAATGTGCGCTTTGATAAGGAAAACTGTAAGATTTCATAAAGGACTTTGTTAAGTGAGTTTATAAGAATTTTCCATCTAAAAGACTCTAAACTTAATTCTTAGACTTACCTCAAATTCTACTTATCACAATTTCCAGGGGGTATTTTGGTAGAGGTATTTTGTAGAAGGTATTTTCAGATTATCCATATCTGACACTTAGAGGATTTTGAGACTTTTGTGTAAGAAAACAGGCAAGGGAAGAGTTATAGTAGTAAAAATAATACCAGGAACTTGATGTGACCAGGATGGAAAAGCTTCCTTCTTTGGGGTTTGACTTTTGAGCTGAAGCAGATAAAATGGTCAAGATCTCTCTTGACTCATGCATGAGAGGAACCATGTATGATCTGCAGTTTTCGATTTTTTTTTTTTACTAGTAGACACAAGGATTTCATCACTGGATAGATTATGGTACATTATGATATGAATTGCTTAAACCAATCAATATTATTTAGTATAATTTAATCATTCACTTAAGTTGTGATGACCAAATGTAGTATAGAGCTTGCAAACACATAGAAATTCTATCTACTCATTGACAGCCCAAAGCATGAAGTGTGAGTACAGATTGAAATTATTCATGTTTCATGAATGTGACCAGTGAACTCTTCTCCATTAGTCCAAGAGAACCCTGACTGACAGCCAACTTTCTGGCTGGTCTGGAGTGTATTCCTCACTAACTGCATTCTCTCAAGAACCACACATATATTCTACTCATCATTTTTTCGTGTCTTTAGACTCTCAACTCTCATTTAATTGGGGGTACACACTTCATCTCTCTGTTTCTCTTTAATGCCCCTTCCTTCACTTTCCTCCCAGCTTTTATCCTCTTACAATTCATCTATGTATCCACTACAGAAAATTTCCCATTCCTGTCCCCTCGAATCCCAAATAGTTCAAATTATTGTGCCTTGTCTTCTGTACAGGGCATCATGGAAGGTCTCTCGTGGGGACTCTGTCCCATTGATAGCATGCAATTATATGGTGATCAGCCTAAAGGTGCAGGGATTAAAAGTGATACTCTAGAACAATTTCAATGTTCAATTGTTTAAGAATTGCTTTGAAGCTTAAGTTGCCTGAAAAATGTACTTATAAGGAATAGGTTATTTGCTAGTTTGACTGAATCCATAAAGTGCTACTGAACTCAAAAGACAGATTGCAAGAGCTTTTATTAGGGTTCCTTAGCATCCTTAGACACCGAGGTTCCATGCATCTCTAGGTATCAGTCATGTCTCTATTTTGTGCCTTTTTAAAAAAAATAATGAAGGGTTTTGCTGAAATGAATAAGATAAAGCTGATTCCAAGAACAGTAAATTTTGGGTATTTCATGTTATACATGAAGAAACTGAGGCTCAGAGAGGTGAAAGACAGATGGAGTGATTCCTGGTCCCCAGAACAGGTGTTGAGCAATGTCTGTGATCATGTGCTTAGCACCCACTCAACCTTGAACAGCATATAAAATAGAGGAGTATTTTTTAAATATATGTACCAAACTTTAATTTTCATTTCACACTCAAAACTTCTGTACAAAAAGAGGCAAAGCAGGCAGAAAAAATTACGATGACTTCAGTATACAACATATGACAACTTTAAAACCGCTTTGGGTGTGCAACAGCCTTTATAGATGAAGTGGGGAAATGGGTTCCAAGGTGTTTGTCTCTTTAAGAGGAAACTCCAGTGTTTCCTATTAACATCTAGAAGGAAAGTGCAGCATTTTGGATATAAGGTTGGATGAGAAGTCTCTGAATTCTTCTGCGCAACTGGATTCCAAGATCGAGTATGCTTCATTTTCTTTCCAGGAAGCATGACATTATTTTTACTTAATGGTGGTGATAAAAAACTCAGTTTACCATTAGTATCTGACATAATGATGATGACTAGGTGCAACTGCTGATGAAGCATGATATAACTAATAGTTAAATGATAGTGTCCAAGACTTACTTTCTGGTTGTTATTAATACTTCAATCCTAATGGACTACCACAGTTCAAAACATTCATTGCCACTTGCTTTTCACTAGTAATTCTCAGTGGCATATGAAAAAGGCTTCTGAGAAAAAAGTTATAATGCCAAAGTAGCAGTGCATCTGAGAAATGTAATTTTCACTTTGTTGCTTGCCCAAAAATAAATATCTGAGTAATGGAAAACACTTTATTTGAAACTATGAACCATCAACTATGAAATATAGTTAACATTGAAATGGATACTGTCTCTAGTCCTTCCCCTAAACCACCCACAGATTTTGGACGTGTGCATGCAGAACAACAATAAAAAAACATGATTGTTCAAGGACTCCTGATGCCTAGAGGACAGTCTGTTAAAAGAATTGTCTCCCACAGTAGCTCTGGAATGGACCAAAGGCCCATCACCTGTTAGTGATCACAGACATCCAGTTAACCTGTCCTCATGATAATTAGAGACAACAGCTCAGGTCCCGGGCATTTAAGAATCCGTGTATGTGAATCTTGGTTTTGAAACAAGGTGGCTTGGCTAAATTGGAGTAGGCCAGCAGCCCCCCACCCCCATTTAGTCTGGTCCCATTTGATAGAAATTCTAATTAAAAATTATAAATGTGCTCAACTATTTACTCTGCATGCCCTGTCCTCTTTAATGACTTATCTCCTCACCTGATCAAAAGGGAAAATGGACTCAATGACAATAAACATTGAGCGCTCTATATTTCTACTCTTGACAGTGTTGCTGTCCAAGGATAATATGTGGCTGCCAAATAGAACATTTCTTAAGCTGAATAGTTAATGAATTTGTTCACCCATTATCAGAATATTTTCTGGCTTCCTCTAGCTAGGGTTTTAGAATCTCTAGATTTGAAAAGGTCTTGAAGGCCACCCAGTGCATTTCTGTTCTGATGAGGGAACCCCCGTCCAAGCAGCTATACTTTGGTCAGCTTGAAAAGCTCTGAGAAAAAGGGCCTTTCCTCTCTCTGTTGACTGGCGTTTGGCTAGAGTGAGGGGAATGCGTTCTGCTCCTTGACTGGATTTCTTTGTTAAAAATAAAACAAACAAAGGTAGGTTTCCCCTATTCCTGGAGAACTTAAGGGAATGCCAGCTGGGCACTAAAGTCTGGAAAGCAATGGTGTCTTATTAAACTCATTCCCTGGGATATGGTGAATGAAACCTTGACATGCTCAGACCCAACTTATCATTCACTGGGCAACTCTTTCTTTATCACAACAGTCAAGAAATAATATAGGCCAGATAGATGGCTTATTTTAAGATGTCCAGTCTCATCCCATAGATGTGCATAGGCTACGTGGTGAAATAGGAAAGAACACGGAGTTGGGAGTGAGGCATCCTGGATTCTAGTCCTACGTAGGATGGACTGGTCCTCTCTGACTTCACCCTCTGTCTCATTTTTCCACTGGCGGACAGAATGGAAGATTTCCAAGAGTCCATGTTAAACTCTGAACTGCAGACAGAACGACTCTAGGTCTTGTCATATTGCTAATCATCTAGATAGATGGCCTGATGCTGACTGGGCTCTACTCACAAAAGAAGCATGTGAGAGCCAGTCATTTTATTGGCTCATAGCCTTGTAGGGCTCTTGGAGATTGTCTGTTTTACTTGTCCATTTTATAGGTGAGAAAAGTAAGACACAGACAGCTTATGTGAATTTCCTAATATCATGCTGTGAGTCAACCTGGCTAGGACTAAATCCAGGTACTTAGACCAGAGCTTTACACATCGCAACAAGCTAGCAGTGGGGGCAGGGAGGAGCTGCCTTTCAAATATGATGGGAAAATGCACATTTTCTCCTCCAAATTTCCCCAGTGCTCTGGTAATTGATGAAGTACCCGAGACCTCTGTTGCCACATGAATGGTCCACAGGGCACAGGGCTCCTTTTAGGAGGGTCAGTGTGCCCAGCACTCTGAAGACAACTGGAGTGTCAGCAAACTTACTCATAATTTCAAAGCCAAAGTTCCACCTCCCTGTCTCTGCAGACAGAAGGGTGAAGCAGAGAGATGACTATCGTGTTGCCTGGGTGACCTTGCTCCCGACCTGTCCCCAGCTTGGGAGAGAGCACCCTCATCAGCTCAGCTATACAGCGCGCCTACGTATTCTTGCTTCTCTCCCACTAAGAATCAAAACAGGTGATTATCCTCTTGCAGAATCTAAAGGGAATGTTGGATATAAATCCAAACAGAAAGGGAATAGGCCGATAAACAAAATACATGCAAACAGGAAAGTTGCACGTGTGGCTTGCAGCCTGAGGATAGGGGGGGGGGATGTGCTGAATTGGAAACACTTGGGTTTGTTTCTTCATGTGCCTTTTTCTTTTCTCAGATTCCTCTGTCTCTCTGTCAGGATAACAGTCGTATCTTTTGTAGCTGAGCTGACACAGGAAATCAAATACTCTCTGTTTCTATAACTATACTTCCCAGAGAGATTACGCATCTAGAATTAAACTACTACCACAAACTATTAAGAATTTCTGATTGTTACAGATGTCGCTAAAGGACTCCAGTAGCAAAGATAAAAGTCTCCCAGTTTTGCCTTTGGAGAAGGGGATTTTGTTTTAGACATCAAAGGTAAGGCTCTCCAGTCAATTTATGCTCTGCTGGGGTGAGTCAGTCAGGATACAAATCAAGGTCCGTATATTTCGGTGACAAGAAGGAAATGGTTATGTAAATACACAAGTATTAACATCAATCTGTATTAAATTATGTAAACATATACATCTTCTGAGGTCAGTACATAGATCCTCTTCTTTGAGCAGAGCTCTACTGAAGCATCGCTCGAATCTGTTTAGAAGTTGATTCATCATTCAAGTGCTTTGTAGTGAACCTAGATGGGGAGAAAATGATGGCAGTCAGCGTGCAAACAGCGCTGCTCAAAAGCTTCAGTAATGACTCACCAGCCCATCTTTACCTTGAGAGGCACAACTGACATTTATAAACCACATGCAGGCTCGATTCTTTAGACAAAGAGCCACACTTCCATGCCCAAAGTTTTCTCAGACACATTTAATATTCAATTCTTCCTTCCAAAGGAATTTTGCATTATGGTTGTTCAAAAGCAGGTCTTTTATCCAATCAAATAATTAAAAAGAGGAGATATAAACGACCTCAGTTTCTAGGAAGGTAGAGCTCACAAGTTTGAGTGCAGAACCTTGACCGCCCAGCTAACTCCGACGGAGGATTGGCACAGCAGCATCAGCCACCAACTTAAACGTTCACGGGTTTCCACTTTCCCAGTTAACGCTTATGCTCATTGCCACCACCAGGGGGCACAAATGCAGGAAAAAAATAGAACGTAATCGCACATTAACTGATACAGAAATCATTTATGAAAAGGAAGGAAAGGGAAATTGACATGTAATCGAACCTCCACCATGTCCCAAGCACTCTACGTAGGTTTTCATTTCACTCACACTAACTCTTTGCAGGAGATCTATTGCCTCCATTTCACAGATGAGAAACTAGACTGAGCAAGGTTCAATAACCCAGATCACAAATCAGGCTGTGTGTAATTTGTGAACAATTTGTGACTTCTGGTTTGGACCCAGGTCTGGGTGTCTCAAAGCTTGTGCTGTTTCACTTCATCACAATGTCTGCAGAAACCACAAATGCCATCACTTACATGGGACTCATGGCCTGGCACAGTGCCCTGCCCTCAGTGAAGTCTTGCTTGATTGAATGAAGCTGACAGATTCAAAAAATTCAGAAGCTAAAGTCTCTTGACTGTGTATGGAAAGCTAGTCTGCTGTGAAATGGGCACCAGTGGAGAAAACCACAAAATCTGGAAGGCTCTTACATTAATGCTACATCTGTTCTGAGGAATGATGACTAGCAGCTCCACAAAACAGCATCAATCTCAGTGTCTAGTTTACTCATTTCATGTGTGTCTCAGTTTCTTAATTTATTAAATGGGATTACTAGGGCAGCCTTACTTCTCCAAATTGTGATGATTAAATGAGACACTGCACTTGGGAGTGGAGTGTAAAACTTAAGTGTTGTACACAGGTAGCGGATTATTGATCCATTCCACTTACAGTTATTGAACACTTACTACATGCCCAACATTGAATAGAACTGGGGAGAAATCAAAGATGAATAAGACAGAAGGAACCATAAAACTTCCAGATGACAATCTGGTATTGGTATTGTAAGGATTTACACAGTAGTATGACTCAACAGATTCCTGTAGATGTGTCTCCACTAACAAAAACAAGAATCCCCTCCCCAGAAGTGGACTAAGCACACGTATCCTGAAAAGAGGACACTTGGCATTGCTAGCTGTGAGGAGATGTAATGAACCCCGGCTGCTGAGTGCTTAGGCATCCGGGCTCAGAGGAGCAGGGCTCTCAATTCTGGCAGCTGTACATGTGGTTCACCCAGGGAGCTTTAGGACAAATGAAAAATGGGCGCCTGAGCCCCCACCCCAGAGATGCTCATTCATCTGGGTTGGAATGTTTTCAAAAACTACCCACACACTGTTCTCATGTGCAGCCAGATTTGGGGACCACTGGTGGGTGAGATCGGGAAGCTGCTGCTTCTCACAAGTCCCTACTAACCACAAAGCAGTGTGGCCTGGGGTTAGCCCTGACCTGTGGGGTCACACAGACCCAGGTTTAGGGTCTAGCCCAGTCATCTGCAATGTGCCTTTTGGCAACTTACTTCATTTCTCTCAACCTCCTTTGTTCCGTCTGTAAAAAGGGTGTGATAAAAATGGTGTTGACCTCAACGGGTTGCTGGGAAGATGAAATGTGTTAAGATATGGGAGAGGGTAAGCCTGGGGCTCACAGCATCTAAATTTGTAATCATAGGGCAAGGGCTCACCTGAGGGCATTCAGCAGCCCCTCCACGCTGTCAGGGGCCTGCTCCTTCAAAACCTTTATGCAGCCTTTCATCTAGGAGGAGAAAGCATGCCGTTTTGTTAATATCCTGCCCATATCTGTTAATACCTGCCCACAGATGTCCATAAAAATATCCCATTCTTCTGCGGAGAGCAATCAGACACAGAAATGACCCACAGATCTCCTTACGCTTTCCAGCTGGTGAGTTGCTCCTCTGAGGGCTTTTAGAAGGTTGTATCACTTTTTACAATATATTGCCATTGAACATTTCCTATGGCTGGCATCTGGGGACAAAGACTTGAGACTGTGACCTTGTCTCGCACTCCAGAGCCACGGGCAGGGCTTTCCTCCCAGTAAGCGCTCAGTTGTGAATGACGGAATGGAGTACCAACCTGATGGATTGAGGCCATCCCTCTGCCCACAGTGCTTTTCCTTCTCCCTCCTCACTAGCTCTTTGACTGGCAAACTCTTAATGATTTTTTCCTAGGACTCAGCTGAAGATCACCAGCACAGGACCTCATCACCTTCACTGGGCAGATGTAACCACAACCTCTTTGTGTTCCCAAGACGAAGCTGGCATATATCAGAGGACCCTGGAGACTTCAGTACCCGCATTAACCTGTCTCCCTCACTAGCGGGCGAGGATTGCTAAAGTACAGAGGTCAAAAACGTGATCCACAGGAGGCACAACACCTGGGTTTCATCCATGCTTGTTGTTTAGTACCTGCATGAACCTAGGCAAGTTTCTTAGGTTTTTGTGTCCTTGGAATATAATTTCCTCATAATTTGGGAAGTGCACAAAACTAAATTTATATAGCATATTATGAACATCCTGGACTTTCCTATGACAAAGGTGGAATCTTTTTGCAAAGACTACAATCACTCATTTTAAACTCAGATGCTCATGCCCTGCACTAGATCTGGGCGACCCAAGGGTCTCTTTTATAATGACTGACTTGCAAATGTTTTCTGGGGGCATACTTCTGGTAGGTAGGAAGTTTTAACCTAAGGCCTGATAGAACCTGACAAATTGATACTGAGGCAGCCAGAAGCACAGAGTTGAGAATCATTTGGGGGTCATGTATAAGGTCATCAGGAAGAATGTCATGGTCAGTCAGAGGTGTCTGCCATGGGTGCAAGATGGGGAGAGGCCACAAACACGCTGAGTGTGTGCATTGGGCCTGTCCACTTCCAAGGATGGGATCCAGCCCAGGGACGCAGAAATTTGGCCCCTCTCCCAGCGGAGCTCATGGTCTGGTGGGAGAAGACACACAAATGGCTCATTATCATTGTGTGATAACTGTTCCTATAAAACATGCCTAAGGAGCAATGAGATCACAGATTAGAAAAGGGGTAGGAAGACAGTGGGTACTCTCTGGGAATTTCTAGTTCTATTTCAGGCTGATTAAAACCTTGAGTATAAATAACAAGATGTAGTCAGGGCCAGATTTATTGTGAGTTTAATAGCATGTTAGAGAATTGGGGGCCTTTACCTATAGGAAACACCTTTAATAGGTGTTAAACTATCCAGAAATATGGTTAATATGGAAAAGGGTCAGAAGGATGCAAGACTGGATACAGGAGGGCCAGGGAAACCCCTGAGGGGTTGAAGTGTAAGGGCAGCAGTGTGCACGCACGGAGGACTAATCTGAGGTCCAGTCCACAGGACTTGGTGGTGGATATGACACATGGCTAAAGAAAGAGGAAGACAATTTGTAGGTTCCAAGGTACAATTCCACGTGTCTAGGTTAGAGATTGGGTTGGAGGATGGTGAAATGCCTGCAAAAGGAACCCAGGACGAGGAATAGTTTTCGGGGAAAGGATTGCCTTTATTTGGCGCCAGCCATGTGTCAGGTTCCAGAGCAGATGGAGCCTGGCATTCTGGGTGAGGTTTGGGCTGGGAACTTAGATTAAGGAGTGATTCCTTATTAGATCATTCCATAAGATTCTAAGGAAATCCGTTGAAAACACCATCTCTCTCCAGCCTGCCTTTCCTGGCACCCAACAATAGTGTGTATTCTCTAAATAACCCCCACCCTCTGGACTACTGGGCCTTTGCTCTGATGATACCCTATTCTGGGAGTACCCTTCCTTCCCCCCTTCCATTTGGGAAGATTCTACTCTTCTCCAGGGTCCACCTCAAGCATCACCCTCTGCCTCTCCTTTAAGCAGAATGGGTGCTCCCTGCTTGGGCTCTAGGGCTCACTGCAAAGCTCTTTTGCCCTCCAGGGAATGTTCTTTGTAAGTGCATATAATAGCACCAACTTCAGGGCCTCACAAGTAAATTTTTTTTTCACAGTTGATGTCGATACCCTAAGGATTAAAAAACCCAGTGAATATAACAGCTGGCTTAGAAACAGACAGATATCTGAAGGAGACACTTTATGTCATCAAAGAAAATGGCCCATCTTGAATACGTGTTGTATTTGGTAAACTCAAAACTTTCTTAGAGACACATGCAAACTTCAATATGAACAACCCTTTCTTAGTGAGAGCCAGAGAGCCATATGAACAAATAGACTTCATCAAGACTATGTGTGGTTAGAGGCAGCATTATATAATATTTACAGCCTCAAAAGAAAGACTCAGTAAATCACAAGCAAGGACAAGCTTTTTAAAGGTCTGGTCTACAAGACATAATTGTACCTAGTGTGTTTTTAATTGTTGACTCTATGACAAGTTCCCAAACGGCTAAGGTAAATACGAATGTCCTGTGATTACCAGGTAATAAACTCAATCCACTTTCAAATGATGTTCATGCAGTCAGTAAGAGAGTTATTTATACTCAATCTGCAGAATACAAATGTTAAAGCTTCACAATGAATACAGGAAAAATATTTATCGGTATGAAAAAAATCTCCATAATATCCTGTTATGCAAATTAAATATATTTCAAAATAGCAAATATAGAAGGGTATTAATTTGTTAAGTGCATACACACACACACACGCAAGTATTTATATAAAAAGAAGGAACATACAGGTTCTGCCATATTAACAGTGGTCATCTGTCTGTGGTGAGATTACTATAGATACATTTAAGTTCTTTATTTTGATTTTCTGTAGCTTCCAAATATTTTTCATACTAAATATTTATTGCCTTGGTAAACAGAAATAATTACATTAATGTAATGAAGACTCTATGAAGAACCATGACTAGCTGTGCTAGGAAGCCAGAAGCTCAAAATGAGTAATCTGAGTTGAACTTTTAATTGATAAATTTCCTTATATTCTACAGACATATCCCTCTGGGCAGGCAGACTTCCTGTCTGCATAGTGGTAGAGTGTCAAAGATGCTGTTCTGTGCAGATGAATGAGAACAGAGTGCCATCTAAACTTAGCCGTACCAGAATAAGTGACCACCAACAGGTCCTATTCTGCACTTAAAAGGCTTTAAATTAATACCTGGGATATGCTACTGGGTTGATGCTGCAAGCATATGATGGCATCAGGGGAGATGTACTTTGTGCCACAATCAACAGAAATCACCTGCACGCTAAAATCAGGTGTTTTCCAGTTACATTCATTCATCCAGCAAAAACTCTACAGGACACCTGTTGAGTGCCATGCCCTGTGTCAGACACAGTGCTAAGCACTAAAGTAGACATTAGGTTTATAGACCATGGTCTCTGCCCTTGCAGATAAACTTGGAATCTGTGAGGGAGTCAGAAAATCCAAAATGTAAGTGCTCTGGGGGCTGGAGGAGAAGGGAGGGGTGCAGGAGATGTGCTCCTAGATGAGGTGACATCTGAGGAGTGTCATGAAGGAATGTGTCCATCAGAGAAGAGAGGGGGGCACTCTGGGCAGGGAAAGGGCTCAAGCATATTCCAATGACAAGGACAGGATTGGAAACTGGGTAGAGCAACCAGCAAGGGCGGTAGGAGAGGAAGTTGGAATGTTTGAAATTTGACTGGGGTGCTTGTCACCCAGTATCTCCATGTTCCTCCTCTGCTTCTAAAGTATGATTTTTTGGAAGCACATGACAAAGACTGGACTTGTTACTACAAGGAGGCCTGCCGGGGTGCGGCTTGCATCTTGCAGAGATCTCTGTCAGTGGGGGTGGAGGAGTGTGGGAGAAGTGAGGTCTGTTGGGCAACATTTACAAGCTCTTAATTGGAAAGCATGTTTCACAGTTATGCTTACATCGATCTTGGACGTCTTGCAGAAAGCTCCCACAGGGTGGACGTGGTCATAAAGGATGATGACCCCCACCATCACCCTCATGCAGAACATCAGTGTTTCTTCGCTTGTAAACCTACTCCTGTACTCCCTGGAAGAGAGAAGAAATGGCGGGGCTGTTACTTCCTTGCCAGAGCACGTTCCTTTCTGGCTCCACAACTGGCTACTGGAGACTCCTCAGATCCTCTCTCGAGAACAATCCCAGACCTGCAGCAACCAGGATAATATGCTCTGAGGAAACCCGTGATGATAATTCTCCTTGAACCTATCCAACCAGCAATGCAGTGTGAAAATAAGGTAAGTCAGAGGGCAGTAAATTCTGTTCTCTTCCGCCCTTCAGCCGGCCAGCTCATCACATACATCAGCCCCCTGCTCATCCATCTTGAATATTTTATAGCAGGTCCCTCTGGCTGTCCAAGATTATAGAAAATAATGGTTTCATTACAGAGAAAAAGAATCAGGCTCATTGCTACACAGCAGCTATCATGTCTCCAGTCAGAGTAACTCCCTTTGTTAAGACACAGACTGCCGATTGAATCGGCTTGGTGAAAACACCTGAGAGGAATTATGGACCACTCACCGGGCTGAGAGAATTTTTGGAGTTTCGATTTTGTTCACTTACCTTGACAGGGTCCCTGATCCCTCACATAATTCAGGCCGATTCTAGAGGCTTTTTAAACATCTACTGCATTATGAATTGGCCCCATAGTGAACATGATTACTATTTCTGTCTTGGAATAAATCTCAACTTCAGTATAAGTAAAATATTTGAAATGAGCACAGTCTTATAGTTGAACAGAACATCCCATTTTTGACACCTTTGGCCCTCCCAAACACTCAGCAACGTAGATGGCATGTGGGAACTCCATGGGATGAGGAAAACACGGCCCAAGCAGGTCAGACCACTTGTCTGTGGGCACAGAAGGGGCATAAGACAGAAGCGGAGCCTTGACTATTAAGTGTGGATTTCCTCATTACCATGCTGCCTTGTCCTTCACAACCTCACCCAGTTTTCAAAGCTAGCAACTAGTTTAAATACAAAGAAACTGCTTAGAGAGAGGAGAGGGAGACATGTCCGTTACCACTCTGGCAACAGTCTTACCACTTCTACTCTTGGTTCTAAATCTTCTCTCTATTCTCTCTAATATATTTATAATAATACCCAACCATTTAACCCAATCCCCCATCTGGCCCTTCCACATCTTCTGCAGCATATTGGATTTGAGTCTTGGTGCTGCCATCAGACAAATTACGCAAGGTTTGGGAAGTCAGTGAACCAATCTGGACCTCAACTTCTTCAGCTTTAAAATGGGGGCAAGTACATCTATCACACAGAGGTCTTCATGAAATTAGTTCCCATAATACACATGCAAATGTTAGCGTGCTGACCCAAAGGTTAGATGCCATCATCATCATGTTAACTGGCCCTGTCTTGGTGAATTTTGCCCACAAATAGCCTGTCTGGTTTCACTTACGGAGTTTCCAGCATGACTTTGCAAACACTTGTCATTGTACTGAGGCAGTCTGTGGTGTTCTCTATGGGCAGGGTTTTGTTCTAAATGGGAGACACAAATGTGTATTAGTCCCACTAGCAGCATTTACTTGTAATGAAGAAAAAAGCACCTTATTACTTAACTTCACTTACTTCGGAGACAAAGTGCATGGTGGCATTGCTAAGGGTTTTCAGCATTGGTGTGGCTTCTGCATAGAAGAGGGACATTCGATTGGCCATCTCATTATTGACTTCATTCTCAATGTCTAGCTAATGAAAATAAAAAGACAATGTGCAATTGATAAAGAGATGGTCAAAAACCCTAAAACAATGTCTTCTGGAAATGTAATTACAAACAAGGGTTCTGTCTTCTCCCCATGTCCTGCCTGATGCAGAAATCAAAACAGACGTGGAGAATGGGTACATAGACCTAGGAGATGCAGGCACTCACATGCATGTTGTTGATACGATTGCGACTTATCGTCCTTCTGTAGTAGCTGAAGTCGTTCTGAATAGCTGGGTTCCTCATCTGAAATTTGGAAGAAAGGAAAGAGTGTCCTCTCTCAGCATCAGGACGGGGGGTATGCATGAGGACCCCAGACACCAGATTTTGTAAATACACCAGGACTTCTCTTTGTGACACAAGAGCCAAAGCAACTTCTGGTTAAAAATAAGTACTCAGAGCCACATTCTTTTAAAATATGCTCTGGTTTTCTATAGGCTAGATTTCAGGGGAAGTATATTTGTTCTCAATGAGGAACAGATACTAGAAAAGGCTTTCTCTTACTTCATTTGGCAGATTTTGTATTTCTTTGTACAAACCACCATCTTAAATCACTTTGACCACAGGAATGCAAATTCTTCCCTTGTTACATGTCTCTGTTACATCTTACTCATCACTTTCTCCCCCCACCCACATCATTAGGTACTCAGCACAAGTTTGTTAAACTGTCAAACTATGTGGCCTAACCTTCAGTTCATCGAATCGAAGGGTAAAATGTAGAATTTCTGCAAACTCCTTTGCCAGGGCTTGTTCCCGCTCCAGGTGTTGGGTTGGTGTGTAGGGTGGACAGGTCAGAGATTCTAATAAACTCTGAAGAGCTTTCTCTGAAAATCAAAGGAACAAATAGATATTTGAGGGGGCCCATAGAGATCCTTCAAAAAGTACAATTCTTAGGCCCACTTGACATCCTCAGAGATTACCTAGTTGGGTCTTTCCTCTCCATGTTCTTCCCCTAATGCTGTGTGCAATGTGATGTGTGTGGGGGAGGAAGACAAGAAGCCCCTTGTGCTCAAGCAAGCTGTCCCCACTGCAGAGGATCACACAGTTCTGTAAATGTCTCAAAGCTTAGCCAAACTTACACATGTCCAGTAGTCTCAGTTCCTAACTGTTAAAAAAAACACAGATGCATGTTTTTGATTTGTGTGCATGAGAAAGCCATTCATGACCCAGGAAGAGATGAGATGACCCTGAATACATAGGTTAGACAACCTGCTTTGCAGGGAAAGGCTTCTGGTCCCATTTCACCTTTTCTCTGCATCTTCTCTCTAACCTAATCCCGGGGATATTTTTCTTCAAGTCTACTGCCATAGTTATTTCCAGTGTTGTCCTTTAAACAGTCTCCTTACTCCCATATGTCTATTTCTCAACCATCCTCCTAATTTCCCCTTTGATGTATTTCTAACAGCACCAAGTCATGGAACCAGTGCCCCATAGCAGGGGCTGGCAAACTACGGTCCACCATCACTTTTTCAAATAAAGTTTTATTAAAAAACAGTTGTACTTTATTTTCATTCCTTTATGCATTGATTATGGCTAATGAGCTACCATGGCACAGTTGAGTAGTTGCAACAAATATAGGTGGCCCACAAGTCTAAAATATTTATTTCCTGCTCTTTACAGAAAAGTTTTCTGGCACCTGTTCTATAGGCCTTAAACATCTTTTACAGCATCTTTACGAGGGCACTGCTAGCCTTTTCCAGTCTATGGGAATGCACTGCCTCCTGAGGCAGCCAGTTCTGTGTTGGCCTAGTTGGACAGGTGGGTCTTTTTCCTTCTGTTGAGATGAAACTTGGCTCATTAGGATTTCAGTTCTTTGGGTCTAGACATATGCTCTGAGGAAACAGAGGGAGAGAAATTGATCCCTCTTCTACTTGAGAGGCTTCAGAAGCTCTGCCTTCTTGGGAAATTGGCCAGTTCATCAGTGATTCTCTCTGGGTCTTGGCTTCAAGTTCTCCCAACGTCACAGTCATTATTCCCCCCAAATATCTCAATTTCTGTTTAACTCTTAAAATGTGACATTCATTTATGGCAAACGTAGAGTAAAACATGACTACCCCTTTGTCCATTCTGGATATATTAACTAGTGAAACCTCAGAGAGCTTTACTTTTGGGGGCAGTGGGTAGATCACACGGTTGGTCACACTGAGCCTATTGTCAACCAGACTTAACTTTACTCTGGCTTCTGCAAAGCCATCCAGTACCTGCACAGGTTTTCTTTAAAGGCTAAGGGCAGAACATTGCTTATTTTTCTTGTATTGTACTGTATTGAACTTATCACATGACTCCAGCCAACCAATTCTTTTTGGGTTAGCAGGTAACCTGTACGTTCCAACATCTCTATCATTTAGAAATATGATCAGAACATAGTAAGACTGTTCATTATTGGATTTTGATGAGAACTATACCAAAAGGATACCCACCAGTAGAGACAGCTTAAATGTGCCAGTAACTGCAGGGGAAAAGCAGGTGGATTGAAAGGAATGAAGATGACAGGAGCTTTGTCCATGAGTGGACTCTCATAAGATATGGCAGATGGATACGGGACATTTTCCAACACACTGAGCTCTTCCTGCCACTTTCTCAATCACCATACCAGAACTTCACATGTGCAATGAGGAAAACTATAAACACAGACTCACCTAGCCTTATGGAAAATTCATAAAATCTCTTTAGCCTCACAACCAGAGGACACACTGCATTCCAAGCTTTTTCTTGAAGCTGAATGTCATTGGGATTTTGGATTGCCTACAAAAACATGATAGAATTATCTGTTTAAGAAGAAGGAATAAGCTTCACATCAAAATGCCTTATGATTGAAAAATGACTTTAGTTAAAAAAAATACAATTCCTGATGTCCTTTGCTAATGAGTACTTCTTAAATTGACATCAGTTTATCAGATGTCTTCCAAGATGCTCAATTAACACTTGAACATAATGCAAATAGTTCTACAATTAGATCCCATGTCATCTTGTTTCTCTTCTCTTAAATGCAAACAAAAAAGTACAAGTCTAAATTGGAAGCAATTCAGCCCTCCTCCATCACCACTTAATTCTTTTAAAGTAGAGCTAATGCTCTTATGAATTGCAGATTCGATAGATATTTTCCTTTCTCTATAATACGTATTACATTCTTGCCAAATCTGTGGTATTACCTAGATTACCTGAATTTCTACTGACCCCTAAGTAGAAAAACATCTTAAGGCTGTCACTTTCTTAGAAATGCTGTTTTGTCTGTATTTTAGCAGCTTGAGGGTTAAATTAGCAGTGTTATTTTCAGAAGGATGGTGGCAATTGCAATAGGGCATATGCATAGCAATGTGTGTGTGCACACATTTGTTGATAATTCCACAACACTAATTATTTCCAATTAAAAGAGTGTAAGGTTTCTTTTCTTTAAGGCATTGTGGAGTCTCAAAAGCCACAATGACAATTCTCTCTTTTTTTTTTTGGTTGTTTTGTTTTTCATGTATTTATTTCTTTAATCGCATAAGGCACTGCAGATCTGCCCGCTACTTAAAGATGACAGATCTGGAGGCTACTTAAAGCTTCATAGTTTATGGCTATTGTTTGTGATACTGGTGGAACCTGCCAAAATTACAACAAAATGTTGGAAAGTTCATGTAAACCCAGACCTCACAACGCATATTTCAACTGTTCATAGACTTTATATGTACGTTCCCCTTAAATGAAGTAATATACTGACATATTATTGTTTCAGTATGAGTCCTGTGATATCAGACGTATGTCTGAGAAGATAATGGCTAATATTTTATATGGTCTATAATACTGTGTGCTCAGATCAATGTACTAAAATAAAGGGAGCCAGTTATACATTTTTTTTAAGGACTTGTTACCCTCCTTTTCTTCCTAGTACATTAAGAAATACTAGAGCTATTAATCTTGCTCTGTGTGTATGTGTGTGTGCGTGCACACACACGGGGTCCCCTCTCCTCCAAGGGTGCTGTCAGCTCAGGCGGATCACTGGCGTACATCTCGGATCTCAGGCCCTGCGCCCTTGTACGCCTGCAGGTCTGTGAGGATGCTCTCGGAGTCCTGGAGGACAGCGCTGATCTGGTTCCATATTTCCCTCTCTCCTTCTGTGGGCTGGGCATCTAAGAAGAGGAGAGACCGGAAGGCAGAGCGTTCATGTTTACAAATGACTTGGGAAGAGGACTGATGTTCAGTTTTACCTGCTAGACAATCCTATTTGATTCTTGCAGCTTTGCTGTTTACTCTTTAACATAACAAGCTGCTGGGAAGGGAAAACGAACACAGCTTCTGCCCGCTACTCAGTTCACTATAGTCATCAATCTTCCTGCACACATTAAACCAAGCGTGTCAAGATCATTGCAGGCATTCCTTTATTGATTTGTGCAGAACCCATTTTTTTGTGCACCTACATGTGCTAAGTGGTTCCCTGGGTGACAGAAGGAATACAAATCGTCTTTAGGGGTCCATTTTTAACAGAAGCTATTGAATATTTCTGTCATGATTGGAGATCTGCAAATCTGAGTACAGATGGAAAAAAAACAGTTCCCCTTATAATTTCTGTATGGCAAATAAACTGAAAATATTAGATAGTCATTCAGAGCCATGGCAGAGATGTATCTTTTCAGAACACAATAATGTGTACAAAGCGGTAAGACTTCTCATTGGGCGTGAACTCAACAAGTGCAGGGAGTTTATTTTAAAGACACCTCTACTGTTCATCTTTTTAGTCTTGACCCTGAATGTTACCCACAAAACACACATTGTCAAGTTTACATGAATGAATAACATCTTTAAACAGTCACAGAAGCATCCTCTTAGCCCTGAATTCCTGCCTGATTATATTTCTGTAACCTATATATGTTCTTGATCCCAGGAGTATTTTGTGGGGGCTAAGGGTGGGAGTTGGATGGTGGTGAAGATTGGGCTATATTTATCTCATAATACCTATGAAATAGGCTACTTCCCGGGCTAATCTCCATCTACAACAAAGGTAGTCCTACTGGAGAAAGGGGATAGAGACCATCGTCTAAAAATCCATGTTCAAAAATCCAAGTCGTAAGGCACTGAATTCCCTGAGCAGACCTCACTAATGAAAGGGCAGGACAGACTGACGCCTGGCCTAAGACCCACCACATCAAATTCTGGTTTGGACTAGTCTTGGTGGGAGCACAAAACGCTGATTCTGCAAGAGGTAATGATTCCCTGGTGTTACTCAGAGGGTAGAAATGACAGAATTCACAACAGAGGTGGTGTCAGTCAAGGCACTGACCATGCAGAGTGGGCCTTCGAAAAGCCGAGCATCTGAGCAAGGGCTGGGCCAGGCACAGCCGCATCTGCTTCACTGCCCGCCTCTTGGGCCTGCCAGATCTGAGGCCAGACCCTTGGGAAGTGAAGCCCATGGGATTTTTAAACAATTTTACCTATCAGGTCCTGCTAAGACCTAAGAAATTAGTAGAGTTTCCTGGGAAATGAACAGTGCAATTCACCAGTGTATGGGTATTCTCTTAAGAAAAAAAAAATCAGAGGCTTTCATAGGTTGTCCAGAAACTTTGCACACTATACCCTCTAGGAATAAGATGGGTTTGAACTAAGGCATAAGGAGGGCCTAACATACATGCGCACAAAGGTTCAGAGAAAGGAAAGCTGAAGTGTGGTCTGGGAGAAGTAGAGACCACTTAATCCAAGGGATGGGACTTGAGCTGGCTAGGTGGCGGTCCAACAGAGGTGCATCCACGAAGGGCATGAGAAAGGCTGGCAGCTGGTGGGATCACGGCTGGTCTGCAGGAGGAAAGACCTGCTCAGGTTACAGTGCAGAGTCTAGCCTGGCAAGCAGAAGGGGACAAAGAAACGTGTTCCAGCTCCTCTATCTTTTTCTACCCTTCCACTCTTTCCCACACTGAGATGTTTCCTCAAGTTCAGTGCTATTCACACTATTAGTTACTTTACATTTTATCTTTTCCTGCTGTTCCAGACGTTTCTTGAAGTGGTATGGGTGTCTTAAACAGAAACCTAAACAACCCACAAGCTAGGAAGCCTGTAGCTGAGGAAAGCATTCCCGGGGAACAGAATTCCAGGGCAGTTTCTGGAGAAGGAGAAAATCAGGGCAGAGAACATAATGACCAATCACAAGGCAAAGATCCTAGGAAACAAATAAAAATCAAAGACTCATTAACTCAAATCCTTTTCCCTTTCAGTGAATGTATTGAATGCCAAACAAAGACTACTTCCTAGAGAGAGGTATGTTTGCAAAGGAGGAAAAGAAAAAGACTGTGATCCCGACGCTGAGGGCTCAGCCTACTTGAATATCGTTGCAACCAGTCTGTGCAGAGGAAGGCAGTCGGAGACAGAAGGGGAGCCCTTCTAATCTTGGCTGTCACATGGCCCCATCTTAGCAAGTCACCACTTGATAAGTTGTAGACAAAACAGAAGGAAAGCTAAGTGGCCAGAAGAGGAGGGCTGGAAAAACAAAAATTAAAAAAACCACGACATTCTTTTGATGATTATGTAAACACAAAAGGAGAACAATTTCAAAGCCAGTTTTTAAAAACAGAGGCCTTTCTTCAGAGCTTCAGAAATAAGATGGTGTCCGACTGAGTGGCCCAAAAGTGGTACAGGGTAGCGATAGGCAAGCTTCTCTCTCCATCCCAGGAGAAGTGACCACTTTTGAACACAAATGAACACGGACATTTACATGACCATGGAGAGTTGGAGGATTAATGTGGGGGGTGGTGCCACCTCTCCCTCTCCCAGGGGCAGTGACACGGGGGGCGGTGGTGACCACCTTCTGCCCTACAGTGGCCCTCTCTGGTTCTGCAGTGACTGTGAGACAGGACCCTCAGTTCCAGCCTCCCTGTGGGGAAAACGTCTCTTCTGGGAGATGTCCTACTGCCCTATTAGAAGTATTTCCCCCAGGGCCCTGGTTAGTGGGGGTGGGCTGGGTGGGAGAAATCCAACCCATCATTCCCTCTCTCACCCCAACTTAGAAATGTGTCGGCTCATTTTCCTCCATGATGTATTAGTTTTGTTGGCTGGCCTGTTTTCTTCCTCCTTCCCCTGTCATGGAAGCGAAGTCACCTCTTTTTCCAGCTCATGATTAGGCCCTCGGTGCTTCGGCACAGTCCGTGCCTTCAGGGTCACAGCCTTGCAAGATTCTCAGGGGACTCAAATCACAAGCAGTGTCAGCTTCCTAGGTGGAGAGTGCTCACTGGGAGAAGCTCTAAGTCTCTTCCTTTCAAGCGGGAAAAGGACTGTGCTACTCTGTGACATTTGATATTGGCCCATATCCCTGTGGAAGTCCCTGATTCATCCCACTTTGATCCCCCAGCTAAACAATCAGCCAGTCAGGACTGATTAAGAGAGTGGGATCCACTAGGCTGTAGGACTCTGCCCTTATTTCTTTCATTGGACATTAAATCTCTAGGAACCAGCATGATGCCTGACACACAATAGATGCCCAAGAAAAAAATTGCTGAACAAATAGTTGAGTAACTGACTTAGACGTACTACTCACACTATGTTTGTGATTATTTTTCTGCTTGTCTTTGAGTTCTGAGACAAGAACTTGGGCTGTATTCTTATCCTTGGTGACCCTATATGTCCTACCACTTGGAGACACTCAGTGAACAACTGTCATGACACAGTGAAAAATGAGGAAGTTGACCAGATTGGTAAAGAATGTGGGTGTTGGAAAGCAGTGAAAAAAAATGAAGACCCTATTATGGCTACATCCTCTGCTCTGTCTTTTCTCCTCAACTGGCTTTTATACCATTACAACTCACAGTTACGAGATGTATGTATTTACCTAAAATCAAATTGGCTATTCACACTTTCATGAACACTGTGTTTTTAAATCATCTTTCATTTCTCTGTGGCCTCAGTATCTCTTCAGTGTGGTTACAAACTAATAGGATATTATTTGAGTGAAAAGCTGCACTTAACTTTTACTCTCCCAGTCCTAAGGCTGTTATCATTTTGCTTTCTGGAACACCCCTTTAAGAGGCTTTGGGGTCTGTACTTTCGGCGTTCTCATATTCAGATTCAGTTGATCAACATGTTTTTAAAATGTGTTGTGTCTTCAGAGGTCAAGGAGAGACATTTTGAAAAAGACCTTGAAAAACTGGTGATTAAAAAGTATGCTGATATTTAACCTACTGGAACCTCTTAAAGCATTTGCTGAGTAAACAGGAATTCTGAACTATGGTTTTTATTTTTTCTGTTTTTAATACAAAGGCTGACCTGTGGTTCAAGGTGCACACAACACATGCCCAATGATAATATTACTGATGAAACTGGGTTCTTATTTCCAGTTGCAACCAGTGAATACCTTGGTAATGTTTCTTCTAAGAAAAACATTCTAAACGTCCAATCATAGCTGATTATTTCATCAAAACTGAGAACGGTTACATAAAGCTGGACTGCTCCTGTCTGACAATGAAGCTGTTACAAATCCCTGTGATTTACACAGGCAATTTCAGAAACCAATACTTCTAGGAGCGCAGGAACAAGCCTGTCCAGTCCATCCCCTGGGTGATGATTTACATCCTTGCTCGGACTGGCTATTGCGGAAAGATTGAGAATGTATCAGGGGTACTGTGACCTTGACTATATCGTCCAGAACTCACTGAATTCCAAGTGCCTAGAATTTTTAATGGAAAAATGCACTATTAACAATGAAGATACACAGGATTCATTCTGCTTATGGTCATCTATTTATCCTCTGTTGGGTCAGCTTGCTCAAGACGGTGGATATTAGCTGTCAGCATTTCGGTGCCACCGGGGTCAGGTGGAGGTGGCACAGTGGAGGACTAAGGTGGTCCCTGAGAGCAGGATGCTTAGTCAGCATCCCACTGCGGGGACAGAGAGGAAGGCGGCCATGTGCTTTGTCAGGGAGGAACATCTCTGGTGAATGTACCCCCAGGCATGGCAGTAGGGCGCCAACTGGGAGGAGGGCTGTCAAATCAAAGCGCCGGTATCTTTGTAAATCTGCCAAAGAAACACTCCAACAGGCACACACATACCTTCTCCTAACAAGCTATTCAGGACTGTATGAGAAAATCAGACAGAGAATCAAACAAATTAACGGGAGATAATGTGAATAGAAGATACAAGATGTCTG